TCACTCCCCCCGCCCCTCGCCGGGCCCGCGCGCCCCTCACTCCCCCCGGGCCCAGGCCCCCCTCACTCCCTCTACACTTGCCCTGCCTGGCTCCTGTCATTCACACTCACCCTGCCAGGCCTGCATCTTTCTCACTCCGCTTGCATTGCTGGGGCCATGTCTCTCTCATTTCACCTTCTCTGCCAGTCCCAGGCCTGCTACTGCCCTGCTGGGCCCGTGTCCCCCTCACTCCGCCTGCCCTGCTGGGTCTGTGTTCCCCTTACTCCTCCTGCCCCAGCCCTGCCGGCTCCATATCTTCAAATCTTAGTATACTAGAACTGGATGTGACCGAGCACCATATTCCCATCACTCCACCTGCCCTAGCCCTGCCGGGCCCATAATTCCCAACAGCCCACATCATACCATAGATTTGGGGGGAGGGTGGGTATATTGCAGCACCTGGCTTGAAGTGGTTTCCATAATTTGTGGGGTTACAGTTTGCTCTAATGGCTTTCCCCCACTGTATAAATTGTTCCAGCACTTCTGCCTGTAGCAATCCAGTATGGCCCATGGCTCTCAGTAGGTCCCATGGCAGCAGGGTAAGACTCCATTGGCTAACATGAATTACCCATGTTCAGTCAGCCAGAGGCAGTTGATCCTCAGAACACAGTGCTCCAGCAACAGTACAGTTTCCTGTGAGCCCCACGTGCTAGTCTCATAGTGTGGAGTGTATCAAATGTTATACCAAATAGAAGCAAGCAGGATCTTATGAGGGGGGCAAGGCAAAAAGCCACATTTATTGTAAAAATGATAAAGAATAAATAAAAGATAGAGGCAAACAACATTGTTTAACTACTTAACCCTTATACATATAAACATTCATTCATCCATCCATTCAGGTTCTGTGTATTTGTTATAGTTACCAGCCTGGAAGTTGCTTGTGACAGAATACTGGCCAGGTATTCTGTACACAAGTGATGGTAGTGGGGAGCGAAGTCCTGATCAGATGCGCATCTGAAGCTCCTGGTAGGCTGGCAGCAGAACCTTGGACTCTGATTCCATAGTCTTTTAGTCCAGTTCTTATAGGAATTTCTTCCTATGCCAGTCTATGGAAATTGCTGTATCATGCTGATGTCTCCAGGGTGGCTGCCAGGTGCTCATCAGTGATCTCATCGGGTGGACCTCCAGTTTCTCCACTTGACACCTTTTGGTTGCACTGGCACCTGACGCCTTCTTCAGCCCTTTGTTGCTGTATTCTCAGGCTGGCACCTCTCAGAACCATTCACTCATCATCCAAGCACTCTCTCATACATTCATACAGTATTTTGTATAATAATAAAAGTTGTAGTTACAGAAAGTTTCTGGGTGGTATTGCTTAAAACATTCTCTGAGTGCTGAGTAAAGTTACAATGTTTTAAAGAGAACAGGCGTCAATTAAGTAACAATGCCCTTAGT